TTATAATCATCGTCATCATCAGCATCAGCATGATCATCACCTCATCATCCGAATCATCATCACCACCACCACCACCACTATCATCATCATCATCATCATCAGCATCATCAGCGTCGTCACCATCATCATCGTCATCATCATCATCATTATCATCACCGTCGTCGTCAGCGGCAGCAGCGCTGGCGGCGGCGGCATCATGATTGTCATGATCATCATGGTCGTCACCATCGGCATCGCAATCAGAATCACAGTCGGCATCATCACCATCATCATCATCGTCATCATCACCACCACCGTCACCATCACCAGCACCGTCATCATCAGCATCAGCTTCATGATCGTCATCACCATCATTACCACCACCATCATCAACATAAGCATCATTAAAGTCATCATTATCATCATCAGCAGCATCATCAGTATCGTCATCAGCATCGTAATCATCATCATCAGTATCATCATCATCATCATCATCATCATCATCACCACCATCATCATCATCAGCAGCAGCATTATCATCATCCTCGTCATCATCATCACCAGCAGCATCATCATCAGCATCATCAGCATCATCATCATCGGCATTGGCATCGTCATCATCATCGTCATCGGCATCGTCATCATCGCCGACATCAACATCGTCGTCACTATCATCCTCATGGCCATAAAATCTGCCGACCCTGTCAGCGTGTGTGAGGGGCTGGTCTGTTCGAGTCGTCGTCTCTGGCAGCCGTCGTCTCCGTCGTCCCCATTCCCTGCATCCTCCTCATCAAGCGTGTCAGCGAGAGAAAAATCGAGCAATGTCATGATCGAGTCGAAGGGGAAACCCTTCCAATTGATCCCTCCCCCGTCGGGGAGGGCGGTCGCGGGGGGGGGGGCCTGGGAGGGTCCTGGGTCGGATACGCATCCCCCCCCTGGGGGTCCTGGAGCCTCAGAGAGTACCAAGATAGGCCAAGAGTGCCCCAAGAGACCACCAAGACGGTCCAAGAAGGTCCCCAATCGCTAAAAAATCTGTCCAAAACGCCTTCACGCCCTCCAGACTGCCCAGGAAGCCTCCAGGAAGCCCCAAGAAGCCTGCAAGAGCACTCCCGAGAAAGCCCCAAGAGGCCAAATTCGAAAATTTTCCGATGTGAAAAATGTGGGCGTTCTCGCCTTTTCCACTTCCCGCAGCGCCAAGACGGCGTAAGAGGCCCCCAAGAAGGCCCCACGAGGCCGCCAAGAGGGCCCCAAACCAACACAAGAGGACCCCAAGACAGCCCAAAACGCCTCTAAGACGGCCCAAGAGGCCCCCAAGACGGCTCCAAGAGCGTGCACTGATGGAGGACCCATACGGACATTTCGAGCCCTCGGCCCCGAGAGGCTGCCAGGAGGGCCCAGAAGGTTCCCAAGAGGCCCCAGAAGGCCCACAAGAGGTTCCCAGAAGCCCGAAAAGGCCTCCAAGAGGCTCCCAAGAGGCTCCCAAGAGGCCTCAAAAGGCTCCCAAGAGGCTCCAAAATTGCTCCCCAAAGGCCCCCGACAGCCGTCCGAAGTATCCGTGAGGACTCTTGCCCGCGTCAGCTCGTCGTCGTCGCCGCGGCCACCGTTGTCGTCGTCGTCTCCCCTCAGGGTCGGCGGCACCGGCCGCAAGGCCTTGGCAATATGTATCGGCAACCACGTCGCCACCGCCACCACGACCACCACCATCATCATCATCATCATCATCATCATCATCATCATCATCATCATCATCATCATCATCATCATCATCATCATCACCATCGTCAGCATCATCATCATCATCATCATCATCATCATCATCATCATCATCATCAGCATCGTCATCATCATCAGCAGCAGCAGCATCATCAGCATCATCATCATCAGCAGCATCATAACCATCATCATCAGCAGCAGCATCAGCATCAGCATCACCACCATCATCATCACCATCAGCATCATCAGAATCAGCATCAACATCATCAGCATCATCATCGTCGCTATCATCAGCAGCATCAGCATCATCATAATCATCATAATCAACAACATCATCATCGCCACCATCAGAACCAGGATCATCATCATCATCATGAGCATCATCAGCAGCATCAGCATCAGTAGTATCATCGTCATCATCAGCAGCAGCACCAGCATCGGCATCAGCATCATGATGATCAGCATCATCACCACCACAATCATGATCGGTATCGCCAACATCATCGCCACAGCATCATCAACATCATCATCGCCACCATCATCATCATCGTCACCAGCAGCATCATCATCGTCGACATCATCAGCATGGTAAGCATCGTCATCATCAGTATCAGCATCATCATCAGCATCATCGGCATCATCAGCAGCAGCATCAGCATCAGCACCACTCTCAGTATCAGCATAAGTATCAGCATCATCAGTATGGGCAGCAGCAACATCGCAATCATCAGATCATCAGCATCAGCACCGGAATCAGCATCATCATCAGAAGCAGCATCGTGGTCATCAACAGCAGCAGCAGAATTATCATCATCAGCAGAATCATCATCCTCATCATCAACGTCGTCGTTGTCGCCAGTATCATCATCAGCACCATAAGCAGCAGCATCATCACAATCATCATCAGCAGCATCAGAATCAGCAGCACCAGCAGCACCACCACCATCATGAGACTCATCATCATTATCATCAGCATCATCAACACCATCGTAATCGTTCCTCATGCCCCTTGTTCGGTTCGCCCCCTCACCTTACTCGTCCCCCTTCTTCCTATCCCTCTCCCTGCTCCCCCTCCTTTTCCTACTCCTCCTTCCACCCCCCCCCTCCCTCCCCTGCTCCTCCTCGGAGCGCCTGTCTGCTTAGAGGAGGCCGCGGCGCCAGCCAGGGACTGCTTCAGCTTCGCGGTCTGCTTCGCCGCCACGGGCTCCAGCCCCGCCTCTCGCGCGCCCGGCTGCCGAGGCACTCCAAGTGATCACTCCCCCTCTGTTTCTTCATCTTCATCTCCGCCGTTCTCCTCCTCCTCCTCCTCCTCCTCCTCCTCCTCCTCCTCCTCCTCCTCCTCCTCCTCCTCCTCCTCCTCCTCCCTCTACTCCTCCTCCTTTTCCTCCTCCTCCTCCTCCTCCTCCTCCTCTTCCTCCTCCTCCTCTTCCTCCTCCTCTTCCTCTTCCTCGTCCTCCTCCTCCTCATTATGCTCCTCCTTCTCGTCCACCCCAAGCCCCTCGCCCTCCTCCTCCGTCCCCACCGTCCCTGACATATTCATAACTCGTAACCTTCGTACCACCAAGCTTGTCGGTGGGGTGATTTTGGCGTTTTGCCCGAGGCCTCATCACAAGCTACATTCCTGAAGCTTGGACCGTTGCCAGCTACACGGATGGCGGCTGGCTCCAGTTCGATGTGTGGCTCTCGCCGTAGCTACGCGCACACATCCGTATACAAAACACTTCCAACGGGAACACAAATGATGTAGGGCGGCTCATGGTGGCTCTCGCCCCACCGCCGCGATCATGCGTTTTAAGAGCTTATGACATCTACCGTGAAGAGGGTCGAGTCCTATTGGAATGTGGCCCTCGCCGTAGAGCCGCGCACATTCGTCCTGAAAACTTCCAACACTTGCACTGATAGAGGGTGGCGTCCAAAGTTCCCAAAAGTTCCCAAGATGAAAGTCTGCGCCGCGTCGTCTTGAATGCGTTCAACACCTACGCGGACGGAGGCGGTCCTGCTTCGACACGTTGCTCTCGCTTTACCGCCGCGCGCAGTCAGCCGTCTTCAGAGCTTCTAACTCCTGAGCGAATGAGGGACGGCCACTTTTGGAGGCCTGGAAATGAGCACCAACACCAACACATGGGGTTGCCTCCACAGGGGGAAGATTATCCTAGATTTCGGTGTTGGTGGTAATATTTCGGCCACCTTGGAAGCCAGAATTATTCCCACCATCACCGAGATCGGGATCTTCTTCCCTCGGTGGGGACACACCGCCGATCTTGATGATGACGATGATGACGATGATGATGTCCCGATAATGATGATGATGATGATGATGATGATGACGATGATGATGATGATGCTGATGATGATGATGATGATGATGATGAGCTGATGATGATGATGATTTTGATGATGGTGGTCCGATGATGGTAATGATGATGATGATGATGTTGATGATGATGGTGTCCCGATGGTGATGATGACGATGATGGTGACGATGATGATGGTGTCTCGATGATGGTGATGATGATAGTGTTGATGATGATGTTGCTGATGATGATGATGGTGTCCCGATGATGATGATGATGATGATGATGATGATGATGATGATGATGATGATGATGATGATGATTATTTGTTTTGTATGTCCGGCAAAGCGCTAGTTCATCCCCTCCCGAGAGCGCCCGTTTCGCGCCGACGTGCTGCAGTAACGAACGAATCGATGGATCATGCAAGAGAAGCGGCCAGAGAGACAAGGGTAAACGAGAGAGGTGCGCTGCGAGAAATCGAGACAGAAAGAGAGAGAGAGAGAAGAGAGAGAGAGAGAGAGAGAGACAGAGAGCAAACAAAAACAGAGAGAGAGAAAGAAAACTGAGAGAAGTCGGGCGAGCAGCCAGCACCGCGCGCCACACAACCGCAGCCCTGTGGCGCGCGGCGCCTCTTCCCAAAGGAGCGGCAGTTCCAGCTGGCGGAACTGCAAAATGCGCACCAATCTGCTGGAGCAGAGGCCTTCTGGGAGGGGAAGGATCTCTCCAAGACCCAACCACAGCCTCAACCAACAAATGCCACAACGACTCCTGCCGAGTAACGCGGCTAGCCTGATCTCCTCCTCCACCTCCCCTACCTCATAACAGCTGGTTCATCGATTGGGACTGCGTCCACACGTGCCGCCACAAGAGCAGTGGTGCTCAACAGCCGCAGGGACGACGTGCGCCTCGGCTTCAAAAGCGGGGGTCTCGCTGGACACGTCCCTGAACGACACGACCCCGCAGGGCGGCTTCTTTCCAGCTTGGGCATAATCGGGTCGGGCGACAAGGGGGGGATAGCCAAGGGGGGGGTCTGAGAATCAGCTCACGCAGCTGACTTTCCCGGCGCCTCCCGGCGCCGGAGGTGGCCATGCATCGAGGAAGGGGCCCCTCGGTGAGGCCGAAACCAGCTGCATGCAGCAAAGTTCGTAACCCCCCCTTTCCCAATCCCCCTCCCTTTCGTCCGGCCCGTTCCTCCCCCTGCTCGGCGCGCACGCGGTGGATGGCTCGGCGTCGTGGCGCAGCCGCTCTGCAGCCCCACGGCCATACTGAAGGGGCCCAAGGACACACAAAGAAATACACACAAATAAAAATATGCCCCATCCCATATTTTCCCACATCTTCTGGGCTCTTGTCTTCCCCCCCACTCCCCATACTGTCCCATATTTTCCTGGGAATCGACGATTCATTGTGTCTGTGTGTTTTTTCCCCTCCGGAACGGTGCATGCGAAGACCGGGGCGCTCGCCGGCATGGCAGGCCCACGGGACGTGCGCCTTTCACGGAGGCCACTCCCGCGGTGAAGAGGATGCGTGCAAGACGCTGCGCGGAGCATTTAGCGGGCGCAGAACGGTACTCCAGATCTCGTAAGAAAGGGAGGGGGGTCTCGTTTCGGGGGGGGTCTTCCAGGCTGTCTTGGAGGGCCTGGGGGGGTCTGGGGACGATGTTTTGGAGGGTTCTCCCACGGGGGGGGGTCTGAAATGGCTTGTCTTGGAGGGTCCAGACCCCCTCCCTTTTATTACGAATCTGGAGTATAAATAAACTGTTTCGCCGTCGGGGACACCTGCCCCAGGGCGGCGGGAAAGTTTATACCCTTTACGGTGGCACCGTAGGGGTATAAAACTTCGAGAGAACGTGATCCACCGCCGCTTTACTTGGAAAATTGCCAACCTTTTCCTCCGGAACCCGGGGTCGCCCCCCCCCCCCTCCGAAAATCCCCCCCCCCCTGCTGGAACCCCCCCCCCCCCCCCCCCCCCCCTCTCCCCCGGCAAAACCCCCCCTCCCCTAACCCCTCCCCTCCCCCCCCCCCCCTCCCGCCTCGAAAACCGGGGGGGTCACTACCGGTTCGAACACCCTCCCCTCCCCCCCACCCCCCCCCCCTCCGATCCGGAAAACCGGGGGGGTCCACTACCGGTTCGAACCCCCCCCCCGCCCCCCCCCCCCCCCCCCCCCCCCCCCCCCCCCCCCCCCCTACTCACCGCCAGCAAACGACTCCCGGTCCCCACCACCGTCCGCATCACATCCCCCACTGGTGTTCCCAGCACCACTGTCCTCACCACCGCTGTCCCCACTGGTTCCACCACCGCCCCTACTGTCCCCACCAGTGGCCCCACCACTGTCGCACTGTCCCCGCTGTCCCCAGAACTGTTCCCACCACGGTTCCACTCTCCCCACTGTCTCCACGGCCCCAACTTGACCAGCCCGCAAGATGTGACTTCTGTGTCGGGGCCAAAATGGGGGAAGCACGACAGGGTCAGAGGCAGGGGGCAAAACCGAGGGGGAGGGGGACGGGGGAAGGGCACGTAGAAACGGAGGGGGCAGGGGAAAGGGGGGGGGGAAGGGAGGGGGGCGGGGGAGGGGGGGGGGCGGGAGGGGGGAAGGGGGAGGGGGAACGGGGGAGGGGAAGGGGGAGGGGAAGGGCGGGGGGAGGGGGAGGGGGGAGGAAGGGAGGCGGGGGGAAGGGGGCGGGGGGAGAGGGGGAGAGGGGGGGGGAAGGGGAGGGGGAAGGGGAAATAAGGAGTTTGCGAACGTGTGTATGTCACGAATGTGATTACGCCTGCTTTATCATTCGATGTACGGATGCAAAATCGTGCTTGCGTGTACGTAATACAATAGCCTATGTGCTTGCATATCTACAGTAACCATTTACAGGCCATCACACACACGCACGCACGCGACGAACATCGCATGTATCATAACCACTGACCATTAGGAGGCTACGTGAGCCCGTAGCGCCACACCCCAACCCCCCGTCTGGAAAGGTCGCGCAAGAAACAAGCGGGGATCGGGAAACAAGTAAAACCCATTGGCCCACCCTCACAAATTACGCACATTCCTATTCAAACTCGCCCATCGCAGCGCCCATTCAAGGATGTGGCGTGCCATCGCAATGAAATGCAATGCGGATTCTAGGATCTCTGAGAGCCCACTGACCTGGGGGCCCCTGGGATCCCAGTCGGCACGGCTTCGGCCCGCGAGCGCGTGAGCACAACCGCTCCATCTAGGACAACTGATGCCACCTTCCGCCGAGCCTTTCGCAGAAATCCGCCGAACCCTTCAACGACGGCTGGGCCTAGAAACCCATGTTCTACTCCGACTACTGCCGAGACCCGCTTCCGTGCGTGATTGATTGTGCGATGTGCTGCGAAGCCGTATCTCTCACGTAACGCGGTACAACTATAGGTTTAGCGGTTAGTGCACAGTGTACCGCAGCAGCGGCGCCATGAACTACCACGAGCGCGCGAGCACTTGGCTGAGGCTGGCCAGGGGCACTGGGCGACTCAACCGCCAAAAAAAACCTCGGCCCCGACATCGAGCATTGCGTTGAACCCGCGGTCCCAAGTATCGGTCTCCTCCTCTATTTTTCAAGCAACTCACTTGCCCGACTTTGACAACGCATTCCTACCTAATCGCTCCGACCTCAGTCGTCCTGTCGACTCCGCAGTCCTTCCCCGCAATTCCTAAGTGTCATCATGATCTCGTCGACCTAGCCCTCCCCCCCCCTGCCTCCTCCCTCCTCGCATGTCCACCTGGACGTCGGGGCGCAAAAAGAGAAAAAAAGTGGTGGGCAGGCGCCTTGGGCGGCCACATCTCGGAAGATGCGCCAGAGGCGCCCGGTGCGCGCAAGGCCAGGACGCCACGAGGCAAAGCCAAACACGCATGGCTCAAGAGGGAGCCCTCAGCCGAAAGCGAAACACTCTGGCCAAG